AGCATATAAAAAGGGACAACATCCAAGTACAATAATTCATTTTCACTACCAAGACTAAGAGAAAAAGATGAATCCTTTCAAACAACAAGTATCAATCAAGAACAAACTCGGGTGCGATGCTGTGCCTTGCGATGACATATATACCGTGCGCTGAGCACTCAGTGATTCAGTTCCACATCATCATCACGATAACTTTTCTATGACTACACATACAATGCAAAGTAATGATGATGGTGTACGTGTCAAACCTGACGGATGTTAAAGCGATGCCATTCGTTATCGTACACCTTTTCACTTTACTGGTTTTTATAGTGGTGTCCATCTAAACGGGAAACCATGCGGATACCAACCTACGGATGTCATGCGAAACTGAGTACATTCCTAAGGATTTCTGCGTACCCTTTTCGAAATAAACCTGTGAAAGACGAATATTCGTTCCCTGTGTGTTTGCCTGAATACTACGATTATAACAGTAAACCATATAGATCAGTGTTTTTGTGCTGATGAAAACTCCTTACCAAAGTTTCCTTACCAAGAAGTGCACACCGTTGCCATAGTCGTTCTTCTGTGCAAAAAGAAAAAGGAAAACGAAAAAGATAGTCACGTCATCCTAAAAAGCGTTTAGACAAACATCAAAGTCACCCCCAGAAAAGTGAGCCACGGAATGAACGATCCCATAACGAAAGAGGTCATCCCAAACAAGACATTCCTCTTCTACCCCAAAAGGAAAAAAGAAAGGACTGCCACCTCCATTAGCCAAACATTGGGACATGTTGTCCGTCCTGTCCAAAACTCCTATACCCATGCGAAAACAAATGATTCAAATTGCTTCCAAATATGTCACTGATACCGTATGGGAACGTTGTCTGAATGTCTTAAAAGGCACAATACACTTGTATAAACAACAGAAACAATACTTAGCCAAACATGCACACGATCTTCGCTAAAAGGTCAAAAATACCCATTCGTCAAAAGAAAAAGATGCTGGTACAACGCAAGGGACCTTTGCCTTTTTGCCTATGTTGTTAGCACCCTTGTTAAAGGCCATAGTAGTCCCCTTGGTTACAAGTCTCGTGGCGGGAGCTGATTCACAAAGGATAAAATAATGGAATACAAAGTGCCTCTGCAAAAGAGATCTCAGACGTTATCATTGGAATCCAATGAAAGGACGAAAACTGATTTAAGTCCATTGCAAACGATGGATGAAGAACACGAACAAGAGCAAGAACATCGAACCACACATTTACCTACCAATCCTCATTTGACCGAGATGTCCCAGTTACAACACAAATTGCAATCGTTGATGGATCTCAGCGAGTTTTTGTTGGAAACGGAAAAATCTGAACGGTACGGTCAATTGTTCCAACGACTGCAACTCTTTCACCAGAAAGCTTTAGGCGAAACAGCTCAACCCACTATAAAAGATTTTAATGCCTTGATGAAACGTACATCACCACCACTACCACCACCACTACCCTGAAGAAAAGTTTCAACTCCACCACAAAAGAACGCAAGTTAACAACGCCACAAACATACAAAATTGGTTGGCTTAAAAAGATGATGGCCACCCCTTCTTCGACAGAAGTGAAAAAGAAACCAGAAGTGAAACAAGAACCGATTAACCATGTTCCGTCATCCTACTCGTTGACACCTATTGCTCGTCGGACACGCAAAGCATCACAAGCCAAGAAAATACCACCAAAAAAAAGAGTAGCAACAGTGAAGACCGGTTCACTTATTAAAAGATGGAAAAGGTGTTAACCATCACAACCTGCCGGTTAGGAGGAGTTCAGAATTGTATCGTACTGCCAAAACAAGACTGAAAATTGTCCATTTACCTCAAATGCAACGAAGGTTACAAGAACAAGCCACGTACACCTTACACAAACCCATTCGATGAAACGTTTTTAAAATTCACACGCAAGTAGAAGGCATCGATCATAAATGGCAAGCTAATTTAGCTGATGTCTCTCATTTGACCACCTAAAATTGTGGCTACAAATATTTGTTTTGTGTCATCGACGTCTGTTTGCAAATTTGCTTGGGTCATGCCATTGACTTCCAAATCGAACATTGAGTTAGCGCGAGCCCTGAAACCAGCGTTGAAATAATGTTGCTGTAACCCTCTTCAATGGCAAACCAATAAAGGCACCGAATTTCTTTACCAAGCCTTGCAAAAAGAATTGAAGAAACGTGACATTCATTTTTCACCACCAAGAATCCCGAAACCAGATTCAGCATCGTGGAACGTTTTCAACTCACCTTGAAATAACTCATATGGAAATGTTTTGTGCATCAACTCTCTCAAGTACATTACCACACCTCGTTCAATCGTACAACCAATCTTACCATCGGAGCATTGGACATGCCCTCCCTCCAATATGTGACTACCGACAACGAAGTGACCGTCTTCAAGCACCTGTTTGGTACGACCACGTCAGTCACTGTCCCCAAGAAATGTGGAGTTTGGTCGCCTGAGATTGGACACGCATTGGCAAAACCAAACGCACTTTTGACAAATGGTTACTTACCCAATTGGACCACCAAATTGTTTCGTGTCGCTCAGCGAGTGCATGATCGTTATCCTCCCGTCTATAAATTGGACGACATTAACGAGGAAGAGTTAAAGGAACGTTTTACTTACCCGAGTTACAACTTGTGACCAAAAAGGAAGACGATGTGTACGAGATAGAAAGCATTCTCGATCGAAGAACACGAAAAGTGTGGAAAATGCCATGTCAAAAAAGTCAAATTACATTGGATAGGATATCCGTCATGTTTTTACTTTTGGATCGACGCTTCTCAAATCATCGACTATAAAAAGAAGTGACCGTCGTGCCCTTCAACACAGCCTCAGCTACTACATTGACCATTCCTGCCAGTTCTTCTCTGGAAGATCTACAAAAGCATCCCTTGTGGGTGTGGTGTGGAGAACGTGTGCCTAAAAAGCAAATCATCTTTTTCTGCCAAATTGTTTTGGTGTATTGTATCATTGGTGCTGCCTTGCCATTTTGAATTTGCAACAAGGAGGCAAACAATTGTGGACCAGTGTACTCGGCAGTAGAATTGGTTACCTTTTTCCCAATCCATCTCTGAAATATTCAACTAACGAAAGAAAAACAACTGGAGTCTTGTGTCCAACGTTAGTTCCAACAGTCACCTAACCATCCTCATTAAGACACTCCTCTGACTACCAGTGACTCCTTAGACACTAGAATTGGGGAATTATGAACAACCAATTTTACTTAACGTTACCCAGTGACAGTTCCATGGAGGTGTTTCCCAATAACACTTTGTGCTGTTTGATGGCCAGATTACCTCAGGCCATCCAATAGGATCACGAAGCCCATTGGGAAGTGGCTTTGGTTGAAATAATTCACCTTACACAAATCAAAAACATCGTCGAAAATCCAAACACTGTGTCAATAGAGGTTTATGACCATGAAGTGCAAAAATCCATGAATGAACGCCGTGCTGTAGCTGACTTTACAAAATCAACAAACCCTGAAACTAAACGAACCGCTTATCAGTTAATAATTCCTGCAGACTATTATTTTAGTGATCAACACTTGGTGAACACCCTTGTTGAAAGGTTCAATTTCATATTTGGTAAAGCCTTGGGGAGAGCTAGAAAAAGTGTTACGATCGAAGACCATAAAATAGCTCCTCTCCTAATGATCAAATTCAGGAGGTTAAAGTATTGGCCATTACATTTGTTCATTAATAGTATCACATTTTGGGTGGAGACCCTAAGTTGATCAAGGTTAAAAACGAAATACCATACGTAACTGGCAACTCGAATGTTGCCAAATATTTTCGATTCCCTGTAGAAAAGAAAAAATGACTGAATTTGAGTTTTGTGTACTCCGATGTGGTTTTTGTACATTGTAGTGGGACACATTCTTACCGTTACTGCGTGTCATTCCTTTCAAAGTGCATTCTGACACGTTTACTGACGCGCAAGCAAAGACAAATACACATCATTAAAAGAGTAAGTGTTTATAGTCACATTACACTACATTCACACGAAATGGCAACTTGAATAGTCTCCCTCAGAGGAAGGTGGAAAGACCTATCACGTTCACCGCGAATATTTACATCCTCACTATTTACATGCCAGTAAGTCGTATTTTGACACTCTCAACATTGCTATAAAAGGAGATCTGGGACAAAATATTCCATTCACCTAAGAGAAAGTCACAGGAAAACTTCATTTTCGAAAACCTCTACTCCAACTTCTTGTCAGTCATGTAACCTGTTTACCAAGCAGCTCGACAAAGGGTAACATGGTTTAGGAAGTATGTTCAATTCGGTCCTTCGTACAGTAGCTCATGTGTTGAAATCCATAATGACACGGGGATTGCACGCCCTGAAAGAACCCCAAAGAAGCTTTCTTAAGAGCAGGCAAAAATGGTGTGTGTGTGTGTGTGTGTGTGTGTGTGTGTGTGTGTGTGTGTGTGTGTGTTACTTATGTATTTATCTATATTTCTGTGTCTCTGCTATACTTGTCCCTCCCTAGAGTAGTAGCTGTGGGTGTGAGTATTTAGGTCAGCCCCTTGCTACAATGTTGAAAATGTCCATTACCGTTACGTCACCTTACCGGTACCATTCCTCGTGTCGCTATACAGACCCAATGTGTTCTAATAAAAAAAATTCCATAATTGCTATAATACCCCCAGCTGTTCCATTTCACGCCAAAATTCGTGAAGCCAAACTACCCCAGGCTGAATTTTAATGAATCTCACAATCATGCTAAGTACCCCCATATACTGCTGATATTATCTCCTCTTTGGCGAATGGTCAAATGATTAATCCACAGAGCTTAGATACCGGGCCGACTGATGGGCATAATTAATATTACAAGGTAATTAAACATAATTCTATGTTTTATGATACGAGTATGACAGATCATGAAAATGAAAATTAACTTTGCTTATTTTAATTTGCGATAAATACGTGTCTTACCGTGTTACACTGACACCTTCCTATGGGTATACAACGCTCCGGTGGCCTAGTAGTTAGAGCGTCTGCCTCGGATGCGGGAAGTCGTGGGTTCGATCGCCAAACGAGGCATCTGTTAGTGTCTGTTTTTAAAACTTTGGTATGACTCGACCGGTGAACAAGCCCACGACCTCATGCATCCAAGGCGGACGCTCTAACAACTAGGCCACCGATGGAAGTTTGTAGACGCTGCTTAGTATGCTAGGGAAATAAGGAGATCGATGTTAATAGCGTGAAGACCCGACCTAAAGTTTTGTAACTTGAGACGTATGGGTCAGGTCGATGGGGATGGGGTGAGTTGAGGATGGGGAGGGGGACCACTACTACTACTTCAAATAATAATAATAATAATAATAATAATAATAATAATAATAATAATAATAATAATAATAATAATAATAATAATAATAATAATAATAATTTAACGAGAATAACATAGTTGGTCATGATAGAGCCATCTGCCATGTGATCCTCAATTTTCGCAACAGGTTATGTATTGAAAAAGCCACTTGCAATTACAACGGGAGACTTAAAAGTCAAGCCCCAAGAAATTGCTGGGGAAAAAAATGTAATTCCATTCTATTTTTAGCGAAATGGTAAAGCATTATGGAAAGGCCAATTTAATAAAAGATTTTTGGGCGGCTCATTTTAGCAGCCGTGTTTGGCCTGGTTTCTTGTTGATTGGGTCTCGTTAAGGCTATTCATACAAATATATACTGATTAGAGAATAGCGCATGAGCCGTAATGTTTGGCAGCGTTATGAAATATATTGGTCAACAATGGAAATATATTTTAATAATCTTTCTTCAATTCCATTCGAAGTTGCTAGAAAAATACTAAAATATACCAAATTTCATTATTCATTGCTTATCTTATTCATCCATATGAACTGAATAAGTCAGAGTCATGTGTGGTTAGCGTTTACACACATAAAAAACACGTTTTCCATGTAATGTATTTCATTTAAAATACCTTAGCTGGGATAAGAACTCACTGGACCAAAAAAAGCAACATAATATAGCGTACAATGTGTGCAAAACAACTTTTGTTTAAAAAAAAAATGTTTGCCGCAGTTATATGTACACAACATTAAAGGTCCCGAATTCATTTTGTAAAAGTTATTTTTTTTAAAGAAAGTTTCGTACAAACACACAGAATTTTATTATAAAATACACATTTTCTGCCCTATTATGCCTAGGTAAATTAAACGTTTACATCAATTGGTGTCCATAAATCCATCCATCCATCCATCCATCCATCCATCCATCCATACATACATCCATCCATCCATCCATCCATCCATCCATCCATCCATCCATGCATGCATGCATGCATGCATGCATGCATGCATGCATGCATGCATGCATGCATGCATACATACATACATACATACATACATACATACATACATACATACATACATACATACATACATACATACATACATACATACATACATACATACATACATACATACATACATACATACATACATACATACATACATACATACATACATACATAACCTCTCCGGTGGCCTAGTGGTTAGAGCATCCGTCTCTAATGTGGGAGGTCGCGAATACCTCATCATACTACCACAAATTTCAAATGGTTAAATCCATTGTGTGTGATACAATATAGCATGACGAAAATCAGTTAAGTGATTTTGTTGAAAGTCGGACATTAATCCACCAACAAACGTTTATGTCCTGTCACCATTCGACCCGTAGGTATGAAATAAATTCTTCCGTATCATACGCTGGTAATATGCCTTTAGATTTTTGTTTCTTTCGCCCTATCATTGCCAGAGAGCATGTCGTGCTGATTTTTGTTTATATATTTGCAGAAATTCAAATAACTCACTAGACTATTTTTGTATGATCCCTTTTCTGTTCCCGGGCACAGGTGCTCGACGTGAGCTTAATGTTTTAAAAAGCAAAAACTTAAAGATACAAACCATACAGAGTGACAAAATTACCTCAGATTACCGCCATGACCCGTCTGGCATAGAACTCTGTCTATCATACTATAAGAAAAACAACAAAGTAAGTAACTTCCAAAAACTTCGTTCTCCAGTTACTTTCGTCTTTGAAGCCACATAACCATAATCTATGGCCTGTTTTACTCCTGATATATTTGTCTGTGCAATAAGCTCTCATTGAGTTTTCTTCATTTCACCTAACTGAAGTTATAGGCTCATAAACGTACTAATTGAAATAATTTTTCTGCTGGGACAAACTTAGTCTCATATGCAACGTGCACTATTTACTGACAGATAATGCGTTTGCGACTCTGCAATATATTCATTCATTAATCTGACAATAGTGGTAGATGTAAAAATAGGTTCCTACATACCATTACTCGATTCAACTTTGGGAAATTCAGTTCCATGGAAGAATTATATAGCATTTTCCAATCATATTTTCGTTGAGTCGCAAACAACGTATCTGATTAAAAATAAATTTAAGTTTGCCTAATTACCTAGACGATATTAAGTTACTATCTGAGACACAAGTCGGATTTAAGAATGCCAATTTCACAATAGGCAATATTTTTCTTTTGTTTAGCCTTATATAATCAATGAGAAATTGCAAAAAGAAACATGTTTGTACGTTTGTTGATTTTAAAAGTGCCTATGATAATCTATGGAGAGTTGGATTATAGCATAATTTATACTCGGTAACATCAGAGGGAATATGTTTAGTGTTTTATTAAGTATTTATAATTATGTTAAATCATGTGTCTATGTAAAAATGAATTTTTGTGTTTGTTGTTTGGGTTTTTTCTTATATGCAAAGGTATAAGACAAGGAGAAAATTTGTCTCAGTTATTGTTCTCCTTAATCCTAATGATATCATCTTTTTTTATATTTTATTAGTAAATGGGTGTAAAGGATGCACTGTACCTTCAAAACATACCGACCAAGTAAATATGTTAAATTCATGTTGTTTTTATACGCTGATGACACAGTATTTGTCGCAGATAATCCTGTTGATATGCAACATACTCTTGGCATGTTTGGTAGATATTGCGATAATAAGTTTTCTATAGAGAAATCAAACTTTTGTATGAATTAAATGGCTAAGTAAATAAAAATCGGTATAACAACGACTAAAAGATGAGTACACACAAGCTCGGGCAACTAACATCAATACCTTATCTAAAGGTGTAAATTACAGGTTATTTAAAACTAGTTTGGATTTTAAAAAGATCAATTTCTCATTTAATTAAGTTTAGAAGTGTAAGCTGGTATGTGGGCTAATGTTCCCTGTCACGAAAGATATTGCAGACTTTGTCAGTCTCCAGAAATAGGTAGGCTTCAGTGACAACATTTCTTAATTTAATCAGAAGCTCTCTAACAGGGTATCTACTATAGTGTAAGCTATATCTTTCCTCTTAAGTGACAGTGTTTAGCGACAACCTAAGCAACACTTAAAATATAGATAGCAAACTAAAGTTACAGTGTTTGGTGAGAACTTGTACCATATTTAAGATACTGATAGCAAAATGAAGTTACAGATCTAGTGACAACTTGTGCGACAGTTAAGATGCTGATAGTAAAATGAAGTTACAGGTCTAGTGACAACTTGTGCCACATTTAAGATACTGATAGTAAAATGAAGTTACAGGTCTAGTGACAACTTGTGCCACAGTTAAGATACTGATAGTAAAATGAAGTTAAAGGTCTAGTGACAACTTTTACCACAATTAAGATACTGATAGCAAATATGAAGTTACAGGTGTAGTGACAACATGTACCACATTTAAGATCCTGATAGTAAAATGAAGTTACAGGTCTAGTCACAACTTGTACAACATTTAAGATACTGATAGTAAAATGAAGTTACAGGTCTAGTGACAACTTGTACCACAATTAAGGTACTGATAGTACAATGAAGTTACAGGTCTAGTGACAACTTGTAGTTACAGGTCTAGTGACAACTTGTACCACAATTAAGGTACTGATAGTACAATGAAGTTACAGGTCTAGTGACAACTTGTACCACAATTAAGATACTGATAGCAAAATGAAGTTACAGGTCTAGTGACAACTTGTACCACAATTAAGATACTGATAGCAAAATGAAGTTACAGGTCTAGTGACAACTTGTACCACAATTAAGGTACTGATAGTACAATGAAGTTACAGGTCTAGTGACAACTTGTACCACAATTAAGGTACTGATAGTACAATGAAGTTACAGGTCTAGTGACAACTTGTACCACAATTAAGATACTGATAGTAAAATGAAGTTACAGGTCTAGTGACAACTTGTACCACAATTAAGGTACTGATAGTACAATGAAGTTACAGGTCTAGTGACAACTTGTACCACAATTAAGGTACTGATAGTACAATGAAGTTACAGGTCTAGTGACAACTTGTACCACAATTAAGATACTGATAGTAAAATGAAGTTACAGGTCTAGTCACAACTTGTACAACATTTAAGATACTGATAGTAAAATGAAGTTAAAGGTCTAGTGACAATTTGTACCACATTTAAGATACTGATAGTAAAATGAAGTTACAGGTCTAGTGACAACTTGTACCACAATTAAGGTACTGATAGTACAATCAAGTTACAGGTCTAGTGACAACTTGTACCACAATTAAGATACTGATAGTAAAATGAAGTTACAGGTCTAGTGACAACTTGTACCACAATTAAGGTACTGATAGTACAATGAAGTTACAGGTCTAGTGACAACTTGTACCACAATTAAGGTACTGATAGTACAATGAAGTTACAGGTCTAGTGACAACTTGTACCACAATTAAGATACTGATAGTAAAATGAAGTTAAAGGTCTAGTGACAATTTGTACCACATTTAAGATCTGATAGTAAAATGAAGTTACAGGTCTAGTCACAACTTGTACAACATTTAAGATACTGATAGTAAAATGAAGTTAAAGTTCTAGTGACAATTTGTACCACAATTAAGATACTGATAGTAAAATGAAGTTACAGGTCTAGTGACAACTTGTACCACAATTAAGGTACTGATAGTACAATGAAGTTACAGGTCTAGTGACAACTTGTACCACAATTAAGGTACTGATAGTACA